TATGAATGTATAGGCTGAAGGAATTTGTTAGAATTTGGTTTAAGGAGCTTTGGAAACAAAATGCCCAGAAAGCCCAGATGGCAACTTGATGAGGTATACATATTAAGGTTGTGATGTCTGTTGTATGTGGCGCTGAAGTAAAGCAGCTTGGGCCAGTCATATGTGAGGTTCAACATTCATGCTATAAACACAGATACAATCCTCTTAGGCTCAGGTCCAACTTCACGTACATCTGCAGGGATCTAATGAAATGTATTTTCCCTTTAATGCTCGCAATGCAAAGCCAAAGGAGGAATGAACATGCACTGTAATGTGAAGGATTACAAGATCCCTTCATTTGGGCTGAGAGGAAGAAAAGAACAAAAGAGATCAAAACTAGCTTCAAAGCTGAAATAATTCAGTTTAATGTTGCTGTCAGCGCTGCTTTCTTGGCTTTTAATCAGAGGTCAGACATCTGGCCCATGGGCTTTTCATGTAATTGCTCTGCTTTTCTGAAATGGACAATAACATCAAATCTATAAATTTGATCAAATCCTCAGTGATTAACTAAATGAGCTCTTTATGAAATAGGGATCCATTAGAGGCGATCACTCACCATCTTGATGGGTCATAAACCCGCTGCGCATGTTATGCATCTACACACTGACCATTTCGCATTTTCAACGCTTTAATTTTGACGACATGTTGGATAGCTTCATCCATTGTTGGACCCACAGATGTCAGGAGATGATCCCTTCAATTAATGCTGATAATGTGATATCATTTACCTCAATCCCTTGTGTTTGTGTATGTGACCCTACAGGATCATGCACATAAAGAGCTGTGCATTAGTTCATTGAGAAAGGAGGACCATTTTTAACTGTTGGATTAATAAGGAGTAGTAACTGCATTAATTGGTAGCAATATAACACTGTGTCAGGTGTCACAATAGGTTAAATGATTAGATTTTCATATTTTCATCCCCTTAAAAGGTTCATGGTCTTTAGAGACCACAGATAAAAACCACAACTTACACCACGTACTAGTGACATTGCATATGCTATGACATAATAATATAGATTAAGCTATCAAGCATTATGTAAAGTGATTAGGAATTTCTCCACATTCACCAGCTGCAACACAAAAGTGATGAACATATTAATGCATCACTTTCTATAATCCAGTAATTTAATATATATTATCCTGAAATACACCAATCTGCAAGTACTTTTGGTAATGATCATTTTGTTGATTAACTTTAATTATATTGTTGATGGTGATACTTTGTACTTTTACTTAAATAAGACTTTGAATGCAGGAATTCTTCTTGTAGGACAGATTTTTTACACTGAAGTCTATCTGATAACTTCTTTACAAGTACAAGTTGAATGTGTGTATGGTGCTGAGCAGTACAAGCGATGTCAAATCATCAAGTGACATTAAAAGGTATTATTACATTGTTAAAATGCCTTTATATAATAATAAATAAATGAGTAACAACCATACAAATATAATTGTAATCTATAGAGACACTCATACAAAGACATAAGTACATATAATAGCTGACACAAAGCTATGGATATAACAAATGATACTTTTCACCATGTACGTTTAATCAGGTCTAATGAAGATAACATTTAACAGTTATTACACTATATTAATTGTATCCCTTTTACCCACAACTAGCCGTGCACTTATTCTTACACTAAATCTGCAGGGATCTAATGAAATGTATTTTCCCTTTAATGCTCGCAATATAAAGCCAAAGGAGGAATGAACATGCACTGTAATGTGAAGGATTACAAGATCACCTCATTTGGCCTGAGAGGAAGAAAAGCTACTGTGTACAGAACAAAAGTTGTTCTTATGTATTATCTAATGTTTGGTTATAGTTTACAGTGTGTGCATTGCCTACAGTTTAAAGTTGGTTTTGAGCGTCCCACAAACAAAGTATGCAATGTCACATGATTTACGGTGAGCTTCTTTTATTTGCTTTTCTTTAGCATCTGACCTTTTGTAATCCTGAAAACTAATATGAAAAATACCCCAAACTAGATTTAGTATCTGTTCCTAATCCTAATATATAGAATTGCAGCATGTTTTTTTTCTGCCACACTCATTTGCAATTCAGAGCACATGCACGAGAAACTCACTCAACACAGAATAATCACACTGGGCGTGAAATTACAGATTTTTCAATTACATACGTGCAGGATGGAAAGTAGTGCGGTGTGCTTTGACAGGGCCGTGAACAGATGATTTAGATACATCTTCACACAGTGCCAGGGACTCTGCACCTGAGAGCAGAGCCAATTCAAATATAGCACAGGTTCTTGGAAAAAGGTTTCCTTGAAAAACATGATTAATGGCAGAGCAGCATGCTTCAACGAGGCTGCATGGCGTGACTAATGCAAACAGGTTTCCTTAGGCAACACAGTAACCTTTGCTCAACTTGCACATACGGAAATCCCATATTCATCTCCTCTTTTTTGACCCCATGAAGTAAACTACAGTCTTTAGAATACTTAAGAACCCCTTTTCTGCATGGTAGCATGCTGGGGAAACAGCACCCTATTAAACATGACAATGCACAAAACATATCAAATGTTATTTAACTGCATAGAAACAGACTGTTTAAAGATTTTCTGCAGGTCGTTGCAACAGCAGGAGAGTTGGCTGTGTAAATTTGAGGCAGCTCTTTGTGTAAACAATGATATAACAGTATGCAAATACTGAGAGTATCACAACGTGTAGCAACACCATGTCAGTTCCTAGAACTGTTGGAACATTTTGGTTCACATGAATTAAGGCAGGTCCCACTTTCAGCTGAAGCCTGCTGAGGGAAGGATACATCAGCCTCTAGGAAATATATATATATATATATATGTAACTCTTATTCAGCCGGTTTCTACAAGTGCTTTTGCTTTCTAGGATGATTAATGAACTATAATGAATTTTGAGATTGTATTAAGGTGTTATCACCACATTTCCTGTAGAATTCTCTCCACTTTCACTAGCAAAAAGAGGCATAACATGCACAAGAAAATAAAAATAAAATAAATCAAAAAACACTTAGTAATTTACACATTGTACAACCCTGTTTTAGATAACTAATAACTAACCCTTGAATTTAGTGAGTTCAAGATTAAGGGGCAAAAGCTGCAACTATCTGTTTTTTAATTTTGTTTCAAATGAACATTTGCACTATACACGAATTAGAGATGAGGCGGATGGAAATGTCAGTAGTTCTGGTGATATAAAAACACAAAATAGAGATGGAAGTTTTGATCTGATGATGGACGCTAGATGAAGAGTTAGGGCTCATTAACCTTTATATTATTCATCCTCTGGGGATCATGAATGCTGAACCAAACCTGACCTAAATCAAATCCAAATGAGAACCTGCTAGTGGGGCAAGATAATCTTTTTTCTTTAAAGGATGATCATCAAAGTCATTAGTATTCATCCTCCGGGCATCATGGATGTTTGCACAAAATCAAATATTTGTTGAGATATTTCAGTTTCAACCAAAGTGTTGGCAAACCACCAACAGACACGCCACGCGACACAGGTCTAAAAACATTAGCAACCTCAAATCTAGCCATTTCCTTGATTCGTTCACAATACTAATAATCTCTTAACATGCGCTGTTATCGGCTCTTATCTGTCCACCTGACAACGGGAGGTGATCGGGGTCAGGGGGAATATTGAGCTGATTTTGACAAACATGAGTGTCAGGCAATTGTATGATCTCCTTCTCAACATTGAGGGGTATAGACTTGGGATTTCTAAGAGTACTGTTACTCTGGGGGGCTTTATTACACACTTGACTCTTGACCTCAGGGTCCTTATTTAGAAACGTCTCAGGATGAAATGTGATCTCAGCAATTTGCATAGGTAGAAATCCAGGCCAAGTTATTTCTAAACCTTCATGGGAAAAACTCCCCGCTCCATGCCAGCCGACATCTCCTCATTCCTCATTGTCATATTCAAACTAAATGTTCCAACACCCTAATCCTTCGACAGCTGAGACTGTCGGGCTTCTCTGAACAGCTCGAAAATATTCAAAAGACCTCTGCTGTGATTATGACAGGACCAAACATACAGACTGACCCCCAGGAGGATCGGATGCAAAAGGCCAACATGTCCCCATTAAACTGGTCTGCAAAACAAACAAACAGAGACGTGTGCAAAGAGGACACGTTGCTGCAGATGAAATCCAACTTGAGATAGGATCTGATCACCGTCACCTGTTCAAGACTAAAATGACTAAAAATACAACACAAGTAGGACACTTAGATCGGTCATATTTAATTAAATCATGGCTCATTTAAAACTCTTATTTCTGTCTTTGTTGAGCAATGCAATACTTGGATTGGAGGACAACTGAAAAGTAAACATATTGATTTATTTAAACTTGGTGCAGCTTGCACAATAGGCTCCACTTGCAAAAAAAGAAAGATAACCCTGATTTTAAACTGAACTTTGGATCCTGGTTCAGACATTTTAGGTAAGTGGGGTCACTATGAAATAACATACCCAAGTATAATCCAGAAAATTATACTTTACACTTCATCACTACACCCTGTTGTACAAATGTTTAATACATAAAAATAACTTGAATTGAACCGATTTCCTTTTGAATTAAAATGTGCACTTAACTTAGACAAATTGAAGTTTGGACCTGTTTAAAAAAAATGTAAGACTTTTTTAAACACCACATACCACATTTTTCACAGTCACAATAAAATAAAAGTGTTGCATTTAAATAAAGTCTTTAATACCCTCCAAAGGACTTATTTTGCTGCTTTTAAAGACCAATTCTTTTGACACTTCATAGTTGGTTTCTCTGTAAAATACACTTCTAAATACACTAGGCAGCAACATACAATCCATCACATAGAACCTTTAGAGAGTACACACTGCCATCTGCTGGCAAGGACTCTACAATGAAAAAGATGAAGACTAATTTATAAAAATTAAAAGAATAGCTCACACAGACTTTTATCAAACTATCATTTTTATTTGTATTGAAGGTTACAGAGCATCTTTCTTTAAACATTTAAATATGAATGTAGTGGTCTCCAAACGGTCTCTTGGTTTTACAGTAAATACATACGTTTATTTTTCAGTATATTAAATATGATGTATCATTGTCTTAATTTATCCTGGTCAATACCTCAGTTTCTGACAGAGGGATTGAACTGATTCAACATGTATTCATAATGTCTTGTGTCTTTAGGGGTGTGATTCTGACTATGTGCCTTTGACATGTTGCTGATCAGTGGATGAATTTACACACTTTTACAATGACTTCCTCACTACAGATGTTTATCCCAATAACACATGTGGTGCATGTCCATTCACACTCATCAGATTAGCGCTGCCTTCAAATATCTATAACCACACATACCAACAGTGCCAGTCTGGGATGGCTGTACAAAACACTGTTTGCTTCTTTGGTGGAAATGTTGCCATGTTCATGTCTCACAGCCAAAATGCAATTACATTCAGTGTGATTGTCTTTTGTTTCGTGAGTATTTTATTAAACATTTGTATTTATGACTGATGGGGTGTAGATGAGGAGGGGGTTCACACAAGTCTATGATCGTTTTTTTCTGTTCTCCAAATTTCTGAAGTTAGCCGGCCTAATCTTCATCTCTGCAAATTCAATTGAGTGTTCGTGGCCCTTCCAGTGGAACCAGTTGATCCCCTGCAAAAAGAATGCAAATCATGGTACAAAGGCCTTCTAACATGTCAGCTGTTCCCCTGCACCGTACATCCAACAAAAAGAAACATCTGAACTCCTAACAGCTAACAGTTCCAAAAAAGTCAGAAATGTTGGGAAGAGTGTGGAATATTTGATGTAGATCACCCATTTCCTTTCAGAAATGTAAGAAAATACCCGTATTTTAAATCCGAGAATACAATGTTATGATTTAAAATACTTTTAATAGCAAGTTATAACGCCAGTACAAAGAACTAGGGGTAGAAGGACCACTGACTTATAAACCTTAACAGAAATGTTGACTGAACGATTTATAATATGTGAATTTACTTTCCTTTTCTTACCTTCAATGTTTAATGTTGCACATCTTTTTAAAATGTTTCCTTTATCAAGAAAGCGATAACATGAGACTTGAATAAAACACACATACCTTACTGTGACTGAGATCCCCATATTTCCCCATGAGGTTGACACGATGACAGTTTTTATACCAAAAGGCTCCTTTGTAGGACAAGGCGCAGTTGGTGACAGCAATATCGTTATCGTTGTCGTAGGTGGAGAAAGGTCGACCCTGGTGGTACGTCATGGAGTCCCCTGGTGAACATATCAACACACAGCTCATGTGAACGGGAGTTTATTCATTAAAAACAGTCTGATAAGATTGAGTAAATTGTGTTATAGAGGCTTTTCCTAAAGGAAACCTTCAAAAATGTATTGCTGAATATGAACTATTAGCCTAGTTAAGCATAGAGATTGCAAATGGGGAAAACAGCTAGCCTAGCGCTGCCAAAGCTAACACAATCCGTCTACTAAATATCCACGTTATATCTCGTTTAGTTAATTTGTTAAAAACTTGAGGTGTAAAACTATAACGGTTTGGTTATACAAAGATTTGTGTGCCATACTGTATGTAAGCTTGTAGCATGAAGCCCAATTTGCAGTTCTTTATTTTACAAATGAACCAAACAAGATATAAAGTGTTAATAAATGAGCTTTAGTGGCGCTGGTAGGTGACTTTTCTTACGCTAGCTGTTCACTTTTTGCCCTGTTTTCAGCTGCTACTGTTTACTCGACAGACAGAGATTAGAGAGGAATTACTTTCTCATCTAACTATCATTGGTGAACTCAAATAGGTGTAATCCACAAAAAGACAATCTTATCCTTTAAACTAATACCCACCTGCTGTTCCACTGTACGCTCCTAAGTAGACTTTGTAGCGGGTTCTTGGTTCTGCAATCGTGAACTTGTCGTACTGAGCGTAGGCCGATTCTCCTTCATCCCTCATGTCCACTCGCAGCTCATAATGGCCAGAATTTGTGATTTTATGAAGGTTGGAAAGACCTGGAGTAATACAATATGTGTGAGTTGTGAAGGTACTGAGTAAGAAGAGAAAGACAGAGAGATGAGGCTAGAAGACGGGAGCTCGTACCCAGCCAGAACTCATCGCTCATGTTTCCAAAGCCAGCAGTGTAGTTCTTCCAGTTCCTGAAGAACTCCAGATTTCCATTCTGCCGTCTGAGGAAAACCTGAAGAGGACAGAGTGTCACAACAGCATTATATAAATCATAACAAAGAACAACGAAGGTCACCATGGTTTCTGATGATCATTATTAGAGAAAACAGGCAGTATGATAATATCAGATTCAATGTCATTTTACAGCTGGAATGATCAATTATTTTCATTATGGATTAAACTGCTGATTGTTTTCTAGATTAAACAATTGTTTTTCATATCTTACACTGCACTTATATTTGGTTATTTTATATTGCTGGTTTTAGTGACTTTTTCTAAATGTAATTTTATAAGCTCTTTCTTTTGCACTATGTCTCAATGTTTTAATGATTTTTTAAAGCCCTTTGAATTGCATGGTGTTGAAATGTGCTTTATAAATAAACCTGCCTTGCCATGCCTATAAAAGGAAATAGTGAGGAATGTCCATCCTAGTTTCTCAATGTCTTGTTTTGCCATTCCAAAACCCAAAGATTTTTATTTTAATATTATAAAACAGACAAAAGCTGGGAAACGTTTGAGAGTCTGAAAGCTGCTTTTTATGCCTTTATTGCATTAAATATGACTGTTTCTCTCAATATGATTTTTTTGCCAGTCTAGGTTGCAAAAGTGCCTTTGAATGGAGTCCAGCAGGCTGAGTCACTCACCATCCAGCCTCCTCCGTCTGTGGTCATGTCACAGTAGACATGGATGGGCTGGCTCTCCTCTCCTCCCAGGCTGATGGTGTACAGCCCAGAGGTCGTCTCTCCGTTCAGTAAAATCTCAGCGCAGTCTTTAGCGTGTCTGTACAACTGTCCAACTGGCAGCACACATTAAAAAGACATCTTAGCAGAATAACCTTCAAGACAGTATACAGTGTCGTGAGTGAGTATGGACTTTGGAAAGAAAGAAGGTTTTGAAAAAGAGAAGAACGGAAAAATAAAAGGTTTTTCCATTGTGACACAGAAAGAAACATAATCACAGGTGCAGTATCAGATTGAAGGGAAGGAATCTGCGCTAGGAAAGGTAATATATTTCAAAGTGCATCTGGAGGGTTGCTTTAAAAAAAAAAAAAATCACGACATCTTTAACTGCTATAAGAATACCATCAATGACGTCACTCTTTAGAAGAATAATGAAAAACAAAAGGGAGACAGTGTTAGCATGCACGTGTTTCTTTCGGTCCTTACTGGTAGTGAAGACGGTGGTCACATGACGACTCCTCTGGGGTCCAGCGATGACCTGAAGTTTCACATTGTACTCTGTGGAGTCGGTGAGCTGAGCCATGTTATAAGAGGACGCTGTCGGGCTTAGCACCACTTCCTGAATCCGTGCCCAAACATGGAGAAAAAAACATTTACAGAGAGCAAGACCATACTGGAGAGTTGACTGCAATATGTAAACATATACATCATTTCATTTTGGTATGGAAAACTAAAATAAATGCAACACTGGACAAGTAGGACACGCCTTCTTCTAGGATTTTAGAGTTATTCTGTTGTAAATATTCTGCTGATTTGTATTGAAAAGCCTTGATTATCTTTGTACCATGTGACCCAATGACAACAGCATTTCTAGACTAGGCATTTAGGATTACTAGACTAAAGATTTTAGTCGAAGATTTTCATGGAAAAGTCTTGTTTCTTTCCAATAGTCATATGACCTTGTGACTCATAATCCATACCAGATATTACACACCTTACCATTTTTTGAAGGAATATTGCTATAAAATGTCAGACGTTTCTTGAATCATGATGGACACCTTAGTACAAATATGTTCTGCTTTTCTTTGAGTGATTATTACAGTATCCCTGAGAGGCAGGTGAGAAGAAAAACAATAGCTGCCAAGAATGTAGGAAATGAATCCAACACCTGATGGTGTGCTTTGGAAAACCTCAGTAACAGTGAGTTTATGCAGTCTAAAGTTATATTTGTTTAAACCCAAAACCCTCAGTGTCGTCAGTAATGTACACACCCTGATTACTCCATCAGCAGAGTCAAAGGTGAGAGTGTAACCAGTCACTGCCGCCTGCGGAGGTTTCCATGTGAGAGTCGCACCGTCAGTTTGGACGTTAATAGCCCTCAGATCACGAGGAGGATCCACATCTGAAAACACAAAATCACACCGTGGATTTAGCATTCCTTCAAGATAGACAATCATTTGTACACATTTTCTCTCTCTACAAGCCTACCGGTGGTGAATTCAGTGACAGCAGAGTCACTCTTCTGAGCGTCTCTCATAGCGTGAACTCCAACTGTGTAGTGGGTTGCAGGAACCAGAGAGCCCATCTCAAACTCCACCGTGTTCCCAGAAACATGCTCCACCACGGGGGACACTGAGAGGAAGGACACACCCACATCAATAATCCAAATCACATCATCAGAATAAAGCTACATTAGTTATAGGTTGTATGTTTAGAAAACCCTTTGCACTCGTTCAATCATTTTTTTTATATTGATAAAAACTATTACTGGCTGTAAAGTGAACTTTCTCATGATACAATGGTTGGTCTTTAGGTTAAAGATGTATGTACTATAGTCTGTATGTACTATATGTTTCATTACAGTTTTGGGAAAAGCAGACCAATGTGCATAACGATAGTAATATAGTAGAATCAATTCAATATCAATACAAAAGTAAGTAAACCGAAGCATTCAAAAAGAAAAATGATATAGAATGCATTTGTACTTATTTTTCAAAAATCATGACGATGTAAAAGTCTGACCTAAAATACTTCTGTACTGCATTTAAATAATTTAAACTAATGAGAACAAAGGTTGTGTCATTTCCTCATCCTGCTAAATATCGTTTTTAAGCATAGATGGGTTTTAAAGATGAACTAATTCTGCTTCTTGACTAAATGACAGGATATTGCATGTACTATATAAATAAATGAGAACAGAGACACACCCGAGTCAGCACTGTAAGTAATGATGTAGCCATCCACAGTGGCGACAGACGGTTGCCATAGCAGCAGGGCGGACGTGTCAGTGACATTAGCTGCATTCAGGCCCTGAGGTCTGTCCAGAGCTGCAGGACACACAAACAAGAACAATTACATTTTCCACAAACTGACTCCAACGTCATCAACAGACAGGAACGTTTTTGTTTTAAAAAAGAAGAAGAAGAAGAAGACGAAGACGAAGAAGCCAACCTGTGATTACAGTGTCAGTGTTGGGGTCACTTTCCTCCAGGCCCTTCATAGCACTCACAGTCACCTGGTACTTTCTGCCAGGGCTCATATTGGGCAGCAGAGCCTCGAACACGTCGCCGTCCACAGTCACCATCAGCGGGCTTCCTGCAGGAGATACACAACAAAATATGGGTCCTACAATAATAACCAAATAACATACCGTTAATGGATTTGACGGTTTACCTACATTCTTCTATCTATAACTAAGCTCTGAATGTATTCACTACAGTTTATTGCAATCCATGGGATAGTTCTTGAGATGTTTCAGCCTCAACCAAAATGGTGGATTGACAGTCCACACTCCCTAGAGCCATGCCACTAACAAGGCTTAATTTCCTTCAACTTCAATTTATTTGTATTTACTTGCACTATTGTATCTGTTTTATTGTGTTGCACTGTTGGAGGAGCCTGTGACCTAATATTTTCATTGACATAACTACACTGTAGCTATGTACACATGGCAATAAAAGCCTTGAATCTTGAAACTGCCGTAAACTATAATTTCAATATAAAATAACAAAATTAAACAAAGTAAATACATTCAAATCTAGACCCGAAATACTGATTTATATCCGTCATTATCTATAGAAACAGAAAAACACAGATTGACCTCTTACCTCCTTCAAAGGGCACGTAGGTGATTCTGTAGTTATCCACTGGAAAGTGAGGCATGGACCAGTGGACCACAGCTGAGGAGTCCATCACTTCAGAAAAGCTCAGTCCATTTGGAGTACTGAGGCCTAGAAAAGTACAAATAGAAATGTGCAGACAGATAAGCAGAAGAAACGTTATTTAGGTGAAGGAAATATGGCTAATAACACTGCCTAAATAGAAGAAAACTATAAACATGAAGGATCCCAAAAGACCATTCCATTGGACATGGAGTTAAGCCTAAATATGAGGAATAAAGATTTTTTGTTGGACTGTGGGTTCGGTTATCAGGCAGCAGATCATACACAAAAAGGTTTAGTAGTTAGTCTTAAACGGCACACTGCTGTGGTTTTATATACCTGTCTGAGCAACCCCGAAAATAGGTTGTGAGCGTCGTTCCAATGTGACACCGTAAAGCTCTATTTCATACTCGGTGCCACTCATGAGTCCAGTTAAAACCTTGGTCCTTTCATCACCGCGGACACTGTACTCGTGAGGGTGGGCTAGTCTTTTACTGTCTCTTATTTTGATCACAAATCTGTCAAACAAGTCTTCATCAGACGTCCATGTCAGACGAAAACCTTCAGCCGTGGCGTCCGACACAAAAAGATGCTCCACCTCCGGCTCAGCCTCTGATTAGACAGGGGAAAAACGATGCAGAAGTTTTGAAGTTTCCCCAGAAATATTCATCAAATTCTGAAGTATGGAAGAAGTAGGCAATCAGGCAAGAAGGTGTCCAGGTGGAAGACAGGGTTATATTCCAGCCTTTTGGTCACCTCCAATCCGACATGCTGAGGCGTCCGTTAGTGTAAATCAGTTAAAACCACAGCACACGGGCTACAAAGGCTTGGGGGAATTGAAAAGACAAGATGCTTTTTGTAAACCTTTATTTATGTCAGTTAACAGGGTCAAAGTCCTTTAAAGGCTCTAAAGGATTTGTTTGATTTCACAAACACCAGTTGAGACAAGGTCCCCATGCGTCTTCAAGGCCAGCCTCGATGCATTCAGTGCATTCAAAGACGATGAAACAAATGAGAAGAGAAAATAAATCAACTGACATTTCATGCCGAGAATGTCTTGTTGATTAATCAGTGTTTTCCTAAGTCTGATCATTTTGTAATATTCACTCCTGTCAGATAAATAAACCAGCATGAGTTAGCAGCATGGTGGGAGTTACTTTAAAAAGACGCCCAAAGACGTCTGTGTAGCACCAATCAGAAATCTGAAGGAAAACACTTTTAAAATATGAAAACAAGCACATTTGCTTGTTCATATTTTCAAGTTAAGAAGAAAACAGGCGGGGGTCCACATCTCTTCCCCCGGTGACGAAGCAAATGCTTAAAACAGAAGAAAGGTGAGATCATTCTGAAAAAGATTTGTTTTAAATACGAGTTAGGATTAGACAAACAGTACAGGAGCTGAAGCCTCACCATTGAAAACATGGCAGTTTACCAAATGTATCATCCCCAAGCAAATTGTGTTAAATCAAATCTTCTAGTATTATAGTTTATATAAACACAAAAACATTTATATAAACAAATGATGCCATTTATGGAGCTGCCAAGTTGTAATGGTGAAACTTCAGAATAGGTAGTTGACACTTCTTTAGTAGCAGGGGCCTGCAGTGCACTGTGTGGTACCTGTCACAGCCACTGTAGTGAGAGGCCGAGAGAGGAGCCCTGACTCTGACACCCCGGTCAGCCTGACCTCATAGCCTATGCCGGTGATGAGGCCCCAGATGTCCAGGTGACTTTGGTTTCCCGGCACAGTGAACTCCTGAGGCTCCAGCAGCCAGCCGGAGTCTGTCACCACTATTTGAAAATGCCTGAAGCCGCCACTAGAGGGGGCTAAAGCCTCCTGCTGCTGCTGCTGCTGCTTCACCTCCCACAACACACGGAAGCCGTAGGGGGTGATTCTGGAAATGCTCAAGTTTTCCACTCTAGGCAAAGGCACTGGAGAGGAGTGGGTTTGATTTTTTTTTTTGTGAGAAGGGAACACATGTGGGAAGGGGAACAATTTCCTATTAGGTGGATAATGTGTGCAATGGTTGCAAAAGCATAATAAAAGCTGTTCCTTTTTTTTTGTTTTAAATGAGGCAAAATGAAGTTTAAGATGTGAAAATCAGATTTGAATACCTCTGAAATTGAGGGCCAAAACACATTAAGGGCAAATTTTGCATGCATCATAAAATTGTATGTAGTTCTACAATATATAAAAATGACAAATAAAAGTATGTAACCTATCGTTTGAAATTCCACATCCTGTCTGGAGCCACAAAACCAAAAGGGTGAAAATGAGAAAACATGTACAGCAATAACGCTGAGATTTCTCAGATGTTAAAGCCGCTGATGAGTAGTGAAGACAAAAAGGTCTAGTACAAAAATGACAAAGCAAAACACAGTCATCTAATGGCTATAAGTGTTGCTGCACCTTACCACAGTTCTGGCTAACAAGTACTGTACTGTATAATAATCCAGTGATTTTTTTTTTAATGCAGGACTTTTTTGTTATCTGTGGATCCTAGGCCTGAAATGCATTAAGATAGTCATTTTGGTATAGCAGGAGACCAAAACATACTTAATTCCATTAAGAGTTTTTATGAAAAACCTGATCAAAAACCAACTGAAGAGAGTTTAAGATATGAGTAAAATACGTCGTACCTGTGACGGCGTGGGTTAATACAGTGGGAGTTTGGCGCCCATGAGAGATACCGTACAGTTCAATATCATAGCCTGTGGCATCCATCAGGTTGGAGACCGTTAAGTTACGGGCTTCACCAGGCAGTCTGAACTCCAGTGTGTCAGACTGCTGCTCAGGGTCACTGACCCGGATAACAAAGCCATCAAAGTGACCTGACACAGTGCTCCAGGACAGGCTGAGGTTATGTGGGCTCACGGATGAAGCAGCTAGGGGCCCCAACAGTGGGACGTCCTCTGAACAGAAGGAAACACAGCCTTTCAGTTATGTTGTGCTGCTAAATCACAATGTGGTTGGTACATGAAGTGTAAAAGAACGCATGTAATTAGGCCCGTCACGATAATTACTTTCTTTAAATTGTACGATATAATGACATCACCTTGATATTTTGTACATAATCCAGTAATGTAGAATATGTAGATGTTACAGTAATCATTTTCACAATATTGTCTTATTGACTAAAATCGATCATTTTGTTCCTTTTTACGCCGTCAGCTTATTGTCTATCTATCTATATCGGGAAATATCCTTTATGGTTTTTACATGAGATCAATTATTTAATTATGATCAACTTATTGTTCGATTTATGGAAATAAACTTGATCATTGTATGTTATCAACTTATATATTTCAATGTCTGAACATTTAAAATAATTAGTTGTTAAAGTCAACGTGGGCTCTTCGCTCATTATATCAGCCAAAAGTGGCCTTGAAATGACAATATTATTTAACGCCAATAATTATATATCTTCCTAAATTTGTATTCTTTGGGACGGTGGGAAATAGCATTTCGATTTCCCTGTTTGGATCACACATTGGCAATAAAGTTGACTTTTACAATATATGGTCAAACAAAAGTAGTTATCATGACAGGCCTACATGTGAGGGGTACCTGTTGTAGCTACTTCAAACAGGGGCTGTGAGTTCTGGCCACCAGCGCTGGCGTACAGCTTTATGTCGTAGCTTGTGCTGGCTTTGAGCCCGGCCATGACTGTGGAGTGCACGTCTCCGGGCAGAGCGCGCCCCATTGCCTGCGAGGGCAAAGCAGACTCTCTGACTTCTACTATAAAGTTATCAAAAGCCTTCTCTCCTGTCCGCCACGACAGAGAAAATCTGTCTGAGGTAATGTTTGAAACAACTAGCCTGGACAAATCAGGCTCTTCAGCTACAAGGGGAGAGAAAAATATAAAATATATTCATTTATTGACATAGAAAGCATGTTTGAGTCTATATTAAACCAGGCCCAACTCAACTTTAAAGTGCAAATAAGAATATTTAAAAACTAATAATATTTAACCCTTTCCTTTGTAATAAAAGAAATCAAAATACCTGTTGATGCAACAATACTGACAGCACTTGTTCGGGATCCCTTGTATGTCCCATAGAAGTAGGCTACATAGTCAGTGGTGGGCCTGAGCCCTTTGACGTCATGGGACTTTGCATTGTGGGAAATGTTATATTCCTTTGGCTCCGTTAGCCAATCAGAATCAATTATCTCCAGGATATAACCATCAAATTTGCCATCAGTGCCGTTCCAGGAGATTGAAAAGCTCTCTGACGTTAAGTTAGCGATATAAAGTTTTCCAAGCACTGGTAGATGCACTAAAGAGAGAAATCATTATTAGTTTTTCATTTTGTTTTGCAACATTTTTGCAGAATACATTCTGATTGAAGTAGGAAATGGTTGGTTTGATAAAATTGTGTATAGCGTTACAGACAACTCACCACCCTCCAAGTTGTTATTCCTGAAGCTTAAAAGATTAAATACATGCTTTTATTCTGCCATCAACATTAACTTAGGAGCTTGAATTTGAACCAGTTACGCCTATTGCTTTTATTGAAAAACTGATAATAGTTAGATGGAGAAACATTTAATGGCAAAGGGAAACTAGCTGAAGATTACTTGCCTGCAAGTTTAAGTGTTGATAAAAAATTGAAAATGTGGCGAAGGAAGAAATTGAATAGTATAAATTAAAATAATTTATCATGCATGTACAGGGAGGTCTGATCATGCAGTTGATGTCCTAACATTATGAACAAGACAAATTCTGCATAATGTTGCACCAGAGCAATTCAAAGAGGACAGCTACACTTTTTTTTTACATGCAAATCAGTCAGTTGCTTGCAAACATGCAGCAGATAAAATAGCCCATCTTTCAGATGTAAAACAATGTGGCATTACTGTTAACCTCACATTATATTATTAGTTTTTTACCTTAATAACGGTCTTGATTAAGATTGAATTATTTGCCACCTAGTAGTTAAAAAGGAAATAAGGATATTTTACTTTGACGTTCTGCATCAAACTCTACAAACTATTTCACACAGACTAAGGCTGGTGACCCACGGGAACGAAAACGGGTTGTATCCGCATATTTCTCTTGCGTATAGCCCTTTTTGCCACACGAGGCCGTAACTAAACGATAGAAACGGACCCTGCAAACGACAACGGGTCCAAAGGTGGATAGATCTGGGAACGGAGCGCTCTGGGGGGTCCAGCGGCTCCGTGTGATCGCCTCTATACGATCATTTTGTGATAATGATGACGCAATAGCCCTGCCTCCCCCACCTCTGCTGCTCACCCCCGCAAAAGTACACTGCACACTGAATTCAGATTATTTATCTTTAGCTCGATATGGACATGCAGCTCCTCCCGCTGTGATGCAGCGGGAGCAAAACACACACTTCAAGTCAGATCATCACCCTTAGCTATTTTAATTAGCCTACCTCATAAATATGTTTATTTTTTACTGTCGGCCGGGTCACTCATTACTGGATCAGCTGCTGCATGAGACAGACACTGACGCTGTCAGAAGAGAGGCAAAAGAGAGGCTCCGTGTATTTTATTATTATATAGAGTCGTTATTCATTTGTTTTAAAGCTTAATAAATAACAAAGAAGACCTTTGACCGGCACTTTTATAATTTTGTCCGGAAGATTTAAACTTTTACACACGTTGACCGGCGAAAAACTCTGCCCGGTTCCCTCGGCCCCCACCGCGGTGAATAAACAGAAGCGCAACCATGACAACCATGCTTCTTCGTTGCTTTTGTGGAGGAAGTTACAGCGCCACGTACAGGCTCGGCATATGTACTGCAGCTTTTTCCAGCGGTTGGAGCTAAACGGAGCTGTCTCGTGTGAACAGACACTATCCGGTGTATATTGCGTGTGGACGGAAGCTTTTTTGCGATTGCGATTGCGTTAAGCCTATGCGTTTTGCCGTATGCGTTCCCGTGGGGCACCAGCCTAAATGAACTCACAAAAATTCACGTGCACATACATGAGCAAATGATCCCTCAAGGTTAATCAATTATACACTGAATGAGTGTTGATGGGATGAAATGAGATGGTCACGCTGTCATGGTGTGACAGGCGTGTGATGGTGAAAGTTATTGGTTTTGCTTTTGCAATCATTGCAGCACATCAGCGTCAAACCTCACCACAATGCAGGGGATGGTAGAGGAAGTGGGGGAGGGGGCTTCATGCACTTTTGTAACTGGGATGGAGGGAGCCGTTCGGGGTAAGGGTGAACATTTGAGGGGCTTTTGCTTTGCTCAGTGATGCGGCATGGGTCCATCACCCTGCCCTCTCTCAGCTAAACAGAAACAGTGGCTGGAGGGTAAAGAATGGTTCACGGCATGTTGGTTAAGATGACAAAAACACAGAATTAGGTTATTATGTTGTTCTGATTTCATGCAGTGAGGTGTGGATGGTCCACAGAGGTTCTAGTGTCAGTGTATGCTTCACAGACATGGACTAAAATAGAAAGTTAAAAACCAGAAAAAGGAAAGAGTGGAAGTTAAAGAGTTAAAGGACAAAAACACTGCAACGCTGCAAGTTGCAGGTACCTGTGGTGGCTTCAGTGTACACGGGTTCCAGGAAGGAGCCCTGATACATCCCAAACAGGCCAACCATGTAGCTGGTGTTGGGGTTGAGCCCGGAGAGGCCCAGGCTGAAAGCTTCTCCGGACAGACTGAGGTTCTGGCTCTCTTCGAAATTATCCAAGTTTGTTACCTCAATGACAAAGCTTTCAAATTCCCCACCCATGGGGCTCCAGGACGCAGTGAAGCCGTCCCATGTAATGTCAGAGATGGTGAGGTTCACCACCATGGGCTTCAGCTCCTCTGCTAGATAGACAGATCAGAGCGGGTCAACTGAATGGCAAGATGGATTGTAAATTTCTTTTAAAGGCACATTTTTCATCACAATCGAACAACTGAGTACTTAGGCCACTGATATAGAAAACAAGTGTTTTAGATTTTAGGAAGTCAAACTAAAACAGAAACAAAGTTGAAAAATCACCAGAAAAAAGTTATAATATTTTTTTACTTTAAACATTTTTGCAATTTTCTTAAAATATTATGTATGTATTTCTATATTTTGACTTTCATTTTTAAATATGGTGTCATTCTTTTCTAAAAAAAACTTTAATAAGAAAATATCAGAACTATCTTCTTGAAATAAAATGTTTTCCCTAAAAATATCAGGACTTTTATCTTAAAAGTTTAAGACTTTATTTATTTAAATGTGAGGAATCTTTCTGGAAATATTAATCCAAATCTTGCTCGTTTTTTTTGTGGCCCCAATACTCCGCCATGAAAAAAGTAAAGCAAAGGAATGTAAGGGAAAAAAGATGAATGTATTTTACAATAAAACAGCAACAGTTTGTGCAATCATCCTGAAATATGAGAACATAAAAAGTAAATGGATGGGATGATGATGATGGGTGGTGGTAAATGCCTACAAAAGAAGAAATATTAGCTCCATGTACCTGTAGTAGCAAAAACTGTGAGAGGTAAAGACCGCTTCCCTTCCACCAGCCCTTGAACTGTAATATTATATTTTGTGGAGGGGGACAATCCCTCTATTTCAGCCTTTCTCACACTTCCTGGTAGTGTGGTTACATGAGCTTCTGTTGGCCCTGATGGAACTCTGAGCTCCACCAAAAAGCTTTCAAAAGCCTCGTCAGGCGCCGACCACGCCAGGCTTAAGCCGGTGGAAGACACATTGACTGTGAGGTCCCCCAATACTTCCAGGATGGAGCTCTCAGGCTCAGCCCCAGAGCTCATCACTTCAGTATCAGAAGTGTTTAGGGGACGGAGGGGATCTGGGTTTCGAACTGCTTCAGTATCCAGAGCAGTTGTTGGAGCATCTTTGACGCTCATCATAAGAACATCTGGAGAGGTAGGTTTGGGTGCTACAGTGAATAAAAGCAGGTTAAAGAATGAATAATGTTACCGGCTCTGCTGAAAGAAAACCTGTGAAAAAGAAACTGGGTAAAAAAGAAGAATACAAGTTATTGTAGTATTCATATTATTCCGCTCGAAGCTACGTCCTTAATTAACATTATTTGTGAAGATTTTGTGGTTTAATCCGTGTTTTTCCAGGCCCACCGTTTATCATCAAGCATCAACTAAGAAATTAATAGCACTTGAGTCAGTGCTATTAATTTTTGAAGCATCTGAGTAGTCCATCAGAGTGGAAGTACAAAGTTGACTTCAAATATGTTGTAAAGCCATGCATAGACTTTTTTCTGCTGCTTTCTTGCTGCTGTCCAAAAGAATAACTGGTCTGAGTCACTTGATTGACATGCGAGTGACGTACTGTGGCATCTTCTGAGACTGCTCTTGTTATTGCGATTGAAGGTGATAAATGATGCAGATGGAATTAGCTTTCAAAGAGCAAAAAGGTTGCATTTCAAAGCTCAAATGCAGGAAGAAATTGGGACAGATAGAGTATTAAAACCCCTTGTATCTGAAGGTGTTAATGGCTCAGGGAGGACATAACTCCCACCAATTCCCAGTGTTAATTTCTTCTTGTATTTAAATGTTTGGCAGCAACTTCAAGCTACAGTATTGAATGCTCATGAGATGATAAGTGTTAAGATAATATCATCTATGTTGGGTTTGTCTTCATACTGTCTCATGCCAACGATTATACCGAGGACGGTTGCTCTGACAAAATGAAATCTTCTTGCTGAGAATCTAAAATAATGAGAAACCAGCATGCAAGTCAAATGGCTATTCGGATGCAAGCAACTATTCGAAGGAACATTTTTCACTAAAAGGAGACATTTTCAAACAGGATCAAATGTCCCCTATAAACTAAAAGTAAAGCGTATAATACCTGTGACTGCAACAGCTTCAAGTAGCGAAGATCTTTGGCTATTGACATTTCCATAAAGTTTTATTTGATATTCTTTCGATGCATTCAGTCCCTCGATTCTAAAGCCAGTGGCATCTCCGGGAAGTTGGACTTCTCTCACATCCCATAACCGCTGAGTGTCTTCATATTCTACTGCCAAACTATCATAGACACTATGAGCCTTCAGTTCCCAAGAGAGGTCAAATCCGTCAGGCATGATGCCCGAGATAGTCAACTTCCCATGCTCATCCTCGGGCTCCGTCTCAACTGAAAACTGGGACTCTGAGGGATCTAAATGCACAAAGCTAATGACATTGTCCTCCGAGCCTGAAGGAGTCGTTAGATCACGGTCGTCTGAGTCTGCTAAATAAAATGTGAAAGTGGCTACAAGGGGGGGAAAAAGGCACAAATCCAGACTGCGTTATTTTTGGTGCAAGTGCATATCATTTCTTGTGTGTATCTTGGTAGGTAAATCATCAAATCTGTTAAGTTTAAATGTTTAGCTTATTTTAAGCATATAAATATACCAATAGAATACTGAGTGACTTACAATTGAGATTATAAACATGAATGAAAAATAAACAGAAAAATAAACTGGTTTTGCACAAATAAATCGGTATCATTCCTCTTTGAAAACGTTTTTTTCAAGATTGTATGGTGGTAAAATTGCTCCCTACCCACCTGTGGTTGCAGATAATGTGACCGGTGTGCTCCTCTTGAGCCCCCTCTCGGCAGCTAAAGTGACGGTGTAGCTCATTCCAGGAATCAGGTTGTACAAGACATGGCTGGTCTCAGTGGGCGGGATCTCCACCTCCTCCACCTCTCCATCCCTGGAGGCGTACACCAGACTGTAGGCACCGACCTTGGCCTGGGGTTTCTGCCAGCTCAGCGTGAGGGAAGTCTCTGTTGACTCCATTTCTTTGAAATCTCTGGGAGGATCGATATCTAAAACAAGAAAGTGTCAAAAACCTCTGATGGTAAATCTTTCTCACTTCTGCAGCATGCTCAGCACAGATCATAAATCGTTTCCCCCCCCCCCATTAGTTTCATTTCATCACCCAATTTGTATCAACAAACATGGTTGTCTGTGTATTTATGAGGGGTGTGAAGAAGGACTGTTCGGACAGCTGCTCTTTCCTCACCAGTTGCTGCATTTGTAGTAGCAGGGAAGCTCTCTCTGTCATTCTTCACCGCCGTCACACCAATCCCGTACTCCGTCCCTGGCTTCAGCCCTGCCACACAGAGGGATGGGAATACACTAATGACCAGGTGGTATGACTAACACAAGTCATATGTGGTTGTGTTTATTGTATGTGACCCTCACCAGTGATGGTAGCTTTTGTGGTGTCTCCTGGCCCTCGAGGAAACAGTTCCTCCCCATGAGTGGCTCCAGAGAGGGGAGTGTATTTCACCAGATAGTTGTCAACATCAGCCTGACTGTTGGTCCACTGCAGGGTGATGCTCTCGTCTGTCTGTGACACGGCCTTCAGGTCCTTGGGTGCATCCAGGGCTGATAAACGTAAATACATTTACAATCATATTAGGAGAATCTACCTTATGATCCCAAACTTAAGATTTATTAACAGACATTTACTTTATTATCTCGGCAAATATTGGAAATTGGGCCAATCCAATTGCAGTGTAAAAACTGATGTGCACATTTCAAATCATTAGACATGGATATACATTCTGTACAATATATCCACGGACTAGCATGTGCTATTCTATATTTGTTATATTTCCAACCCACTGGTTCCTACTGAATGGTTTAATCTAGAAAAGGGGGTCTACTGAGATAGTTCAGTTTTTTAAGTCAGTTATAACTTAATTAAAACAGCCTGTGACTGTATTTTTAGACAAATGTATGAAACAAGAGGACATATTGCATTTATTGGGGACAATTTTTAACAGCTAATTAATCTACAATCTCTATGCATTACATTAAAGGTGGGGTAGGTAAGTTTGAGAAACCGGCTCGAGATCGCTAGAATTTGAAAATACACAACCGGAGAAAATCTGCCACTTCCTTATAGAGCCCCTCCTCCAACACACACGAACGCGCACATGACCAATGAGGGCACGAGATAAGTTTGTGCACAGATGGAAGGCTGACAGGCAGGTAGGCCATCCAGTTATTTTAGCCGGGCCGGCTCAGATGATTGGTCGTACTTTTTACAGTACTACGGCTTCCACAGATGACATTTTTTGATGGATTTTTTGTCAAAGCACTTAAGATATTCATTGCTATCGGGATGTTAAGAGCATTCCATGGAATATAACAAAAAGTGTATCTCGAGCCGGTTTCTCAAACTTACCTACCCCACCTTTAATGCACACAATATCTGTTTTCTCTTTTTTTGTATTACTGCCAAATTTTATGTAAATATTGTTATATTTCACTATATTTTTTATTATTTTTTATATTTTGTAATGTTATTATAGTTTTCTTAAAATAGTTTTTTTTTTTACTTTTATGTATGCACCATGACATCAAGTCAAATTCCTTGTACGTGTCAACCTACCTGGTAATAAACCTGATTCGGATACATTTGGTTCTGTAGTGTATTTAGGTCTAAATAACATGGTATGTGGAAATTATTCAAAATACACATCTACTGTATGGTAATAAAGGAACATGTCATCCAGGGTAGCAGTGTGGCTCACATATGTATTTCTAATAGTTTTCGAACAACAACTGAGCTCTATGGCACAGAGGAGGTAGGTATAAATTATTATTTGATATACACACACAATACTTAAGTCGGATAAATTCGTAGTTTTGGTCTTTTTCTGGGATTTGTTGACATACAAAAACATAGCCTTGTATTATGTCATGCAAATCACACAAGCAAATACTGTACGTGCAGCTTAAGAATGAAAGAAGATGTAAATCTGCAGTGACTGATCATAAGCCTACCTGTAGTGAACGTGGCGATGACAGGGTCACTGGAGACGTCTCTGCTCCTGGAGATGAGCGACACGGTGTACTCGGTGTCTGGCGTCAGGCTGTCAATGCTGTACTGAGTCTCCGGGATGGAAACCCCCACTATGGCTTCTTGTGAAGGCTCAGAGCTAGGCCTGTAGGCCAAGGTGAGTCTGTCCATCGGAGCCACCGGCAGAGACCAGCTGACCAGAGCAGAGGAGTCCGTCACGTCCTTCACCTCCACCTGCTGGGGGCCGTCAATCTCTGGGGAGGGATTCAGGTGAGAGAGAAAAGGGTGAGGGGAAAGGATGCATGAGAAATGTCTGATTCATTATGAAACTTACAATTAAGTAAGAATTCGGTTGACAGTCCTTAAAAGATGTCATACATATATCTGCAATGTGCAGAATAAATAATTTCTAGCACTAAAGGGGAACCACAATATTTAAGATATATATATTTAAAATATATTAAACTGGTAGACCGATATTTCAGTAAACAGTTAAAAAAGGTTTTAATGCTGTTTGTTGTAAAACAAGTTTACATTTGCTGATGAAAAGTAATAAAGACAACTGTAAGAGTGGAGTAGGTCTATTTGTCAGCAAGCAAATAAGCTTATTTCCCAAATGATGCAGTCATTTAGTTTATTGGTATCAAGCAGATAAGGGTCTGCAAAGTTGTTCTCAGCAAAGATTGAATCAGTCTCTGTAGGAATGTGTTAACTGCCAATAGTACAATTCAAAAACAATCAAGACAACATCTCTTACATTGGTGTGAGATCAATATTAAACGCAAACATTATCACTCCTGGCATGGTATTTTGAGCCTTTAAAAATAAAAGATCTCTCATAAGCCTGAACTTGGCTCTCTTATAAGATGAAGCAATAAGTTGGATCAACCTGGGAAAAGGCTTAATAATGTGCTTCCTTTTCAGTCTGGCTTTATGTTTACTGCCTGACACATTTCCTGTGTTAACATGTGGGGGCGGTATCTTTTCTCAGTGTTAAACGGACAACTGGGGGTAAAAAGGGTCTGAAAGGATTAACGGGACTTCTATTATTCATTTATGGGGGCTGTGTCTAGTTTCAGCCAAGACAAATAAATGACATCAGAAATGAAACGACGTGTTACCCAGAGAGTAAAAACACACCAACGTCTAAACTAAATGGCTTTTCCATGCACAATGAAAGTTGTTTGGCCTGGCGTGACATATCGATTGCATACTTAAAGCGTTTAAAAAACTTAATGTATGGAGTAACACAGCTATAAAACTTCACCAAGCAGAGGACAAGAGCTGAAAGCAAGATTTAGTGAAAGTGAAAAATCATGCGAGGCTGACATTTAACTTGTCCGAGTTATTACTCTTAAGCTCAAATCTGTACGATGGACGAATGGAGAGCCAGAAGGGATTTCCTGTTATTACTCTTCTTTTCATTATGGAATTTCCCTCTTTGACATTAATGTATTTGTTTAGCTCTGTGCTCGAGGAAAGGGAAGGTTTTTTTAGTACCGAATTGCTAAAAGCTGCCATAGGGAACAGAGAAATTATTACATAATCATACAGTCTGAACTTTGATTTAGGTAGAAACTGGATGAACATCTAATCTCACCTGTTCACTCTTAATAATGCAAAAATAAATTAAGTTGACAGCCACAAACTCACTGGTCGTGACTTTTTCGGTAGTTTGGGGTCCTCTTGTGTTGTTCTTGATGATGTTAACAGAGACTTCATACTCCTGTCCTGGTCCAAGTCCTGACTGGATAAACTGGTTTTGATCAGGTGGAAGGGTGCTCACGATTTTTCCATTTTCTTCTTTCTGCAAGGATACATAATGCACAAACGAATGTGAAACATCCGGTTCAGGACTAGCACATAGATTACTGGGAGAAAAACAGGTTAACATGCACTAACTGCAGTAGGCTGAACTATTCTACAAAGTCAAGTTTAGCAGTTTCAGCAGGTCACTATCTAGAGTCATGGCATTTTTTGTTTGGAAAATGCTTACTAGCTTTTATGCTGGCATTTCAAATTCAAAAAGTTAGGAAAGCGGTTTGGATCTTTTTTGTCTAAATCTAATCGAGGAAACAAATAAATGCATTATTCAAAATGTATAATTATTTCCTTTGATGTATTTAAAAAAAACATTGTGATGTGACAGTACATGCTGAGTAATGGTATACAGAGAAGACATTACTTTCTCTGTGTGCATGCAGTTGAGTTCAAGGTGTATTCTTCAGCAGTGAGAATTATATATTTTTATATTTTGAAACAGGGAGATTAGAGTTTTGTTAAATTAAAGTTTGAATTGAATTATTATTATTATTATTGTGTATTTGTTATGAAAATGTGCAACTAATCAGCTTTTTCCAGAAGAAATCAACCTGGGGTAATATGTACTCAGTTAAATCTTAAGAGGCCACACTACTGTACCAGTTCTTGCGACTCATGTTTAAAGTTCCTGATTGTAATAATAAGTTAGAAATCAGGTAGAGAGCATACAAAAAACAAAGCTGCATGCAAAAAAGTTAGCACTGTTGGCACATCAATGCAAAACACATCAACACGCTGCACAGGAATGTGAAAGTACAGAGACTGGTTGTGTGGTAATCTACATCCCAAAACCTAATATCAAAATGAACATGGTCAGGAGAAGACATGCATATATAAAAATAGATTAATACTCTGCAGCAGCTACAAAATGTGAAAAAGCTTCTGAATTATCAGCTGACACAGTAACTTATTCTCGAAGAATTACTGGCTGGGATTCTAAGCAGCAGATTTACCCGCAATTCTATGACATCCGGACTTGCCCTCTCTGAGGTTTTTCCCATATATCAAAGCAATTTTAGCACTGAAATAAATCCATGTTTTGCTGAGACTTCCAATAAGCTTGAGGAGCTTTATCACATTTTCCCCTGTCGCTTAATAAAATCCTGTGCAAGCTTTTAAAGGAGATAGGCAGACTGACCGTATTGCGGAAATAGATCTCCCAGCCATCGAAGGAGATGTCCACCTGGTCCCACATCACCTCCACAGAGCTCTCTCTCACTGATTTGAAGATTAAACCCTCTGGCTTTGGAAGCGCTGCAGGGATGGAAAGAAAATACATTATTTACTGATTATTGGTAGCTAGGATACATCTTCTTTTATTTACAATAAACTAGCATATACCTGTTGCCACCCGCGCACTGACGGGGATGCTCTTCTTGTTGCTTAGAACAGCGTAGACACTGATCAGATACTCGATGCCAGGCTCAAGCTCTTTGACGGTGGCAGCAGTTTTGTCTCCTGGCACAACGAACTCTTGTTGAAGACCACCAGGTCTGGTGGGCACATACGTCACAAGGTACTCTGTTACCAGCATCTCGTTTTCCCAGTTCAGGTCCACCGTCTCAGGGGTGACCTCGCCTAAAGTAAGGTCGTTCGGAGGAGACACTGGAAAAAAAGAACGAAAGGAGGGAAGTGTTTTCTTTGACAGTTTCTCACGCCCTCAATCCACCAAGCGGAGCTAATTCAAACACCAGCTGTGGTGTCAAGAACTGCCAAAGATTGCGAACAAATGCAGACATTGACTATGAAAACTATTTTATGTTCACTGAAATAGTTTATATCAAGAGTGGTGAGTGAAATTGGAGAAAGGGAGGAAGTGACATCACTCTGGATTTAAATGAATAGTACATACTTAACACATGGAAACGTTCAGGATTTGCGGATTGCCAAATCTTTTTTGGTGTGTGAACTAGGGATGGGAATTTGAAAGCAAATGTATATTCGAATATTCGAGCCCCAAAAAAACGGTTAACCGATTAACCAAAATGTACATATCCTATAAAAAAAAGAAAATGTGGGAACATTTTTTACAATTCTTTTTTAATTTATTTTAATTTTGAAAAATCAATAAATGTTCAAATAAGTATAGAAACCAAGTCGAATTTGTCAAATGTATTGAACTGGCGATCACAGTTTGAACAGTTGACAGCTATAGGCCTACAGCTTTCAGGATCATACACGAACAACATAACGGGTTAGGGTAACGTAACCCTATTACAACAGAGATCACCAACCTATAACAGGGCCTATGCACAGAATGCAGCTATTCAATACTCATTCTTGTTTAAGAATATGAGCATGTCTGCATGCTCAGGGGAGAGGCGGGTGCGGAGGCGATTCACAATCAGGCCAGCTGTAGAGAAGACCCTCTCAGCTGGAATTTGGGCATAAGATGAGGTTTGAGTCTGCGTGATCTGCGTGTAGGGAGGGGCAGCAGCCATATCATTAGCTAGAGCTAGATCTGATGGATTTGGACATAAACGCGAGTGAAGTATAACCGGATGCGAGAGAGAGATCAGCACCTGCAGCTCTGCCCGCTGTGAGGGACCGGTGAGCGGAGCAAAACACACCTTTAGACCTAACACACTTAGCTATGGCACTGTCGTATACATTGAATTATTCCATTTGATAATATGTAATCAACTTAGGCACCCCTCCCAAAAAAAAAGAAAAAAAATTACAATAAATAATTCATAACTCATATTCTCATATTCTACACCTGAATGATTTCGAATATTCGAATAATCGTTCCCATCCCTAGTGTGAACTTAACATAGCTTCTTACCTTCAGAGCAGTCTTCTCCGATATATCCCTCATCGCATACGCACTGTCCGTTCTCACAGCGGCCTTTGTCCTGGCAGTTGTTGGGGCAGCTAAGGTCTGCACAGCTTTCCCCTTCATATCCAGCCTCACACGTGCACTTTCCATTGATACAGCGTCCCCTGTTGTTGCAGTCACCTGGGCAGGCGTGCACAGAGCAGTCGTCTCCTGAGTAGCCTTCCTGGCAGATGCACTTGCCGTCGACGCAGTAACCCCGGGCCAGGCAGTCGTTGGGACAAGCTTTCTGACCGCAGGCCTCCCCGCTGAAGCCTTCGTCACAAACACACTGCCCATCGATGCATCGGCCGCGGTTCTGGCAATTGTTAGGGCAGCTCAGCTCAGCACAGTCCTCACCGGTGAAGCCTGAATGACACACACAACGTCCCTTGATACACTCACCGCGGCCGTAGCAGTTTGAGGGGCAGGTCCTGATGCTGCAGTCCTCACCAGCAAAGCCCTCCTCGCACACACACTGGCCGTTCACACAGCGCCCCCTGTGCCGGCAGTCATTTGGACAGGAAAGCTCAGAGCAATCATCTCCCTGGAAACCAACATTGCAGTCACATTGCCCGTTTATGCACTGGCCTCTGTTGTTACAGTTGTTGAGGCACGCTAACTGGCTGCAGTCTGCGCCTTGATAGCCCGCGTCGCAGATACACATCCCGTTGAAGCACGTTCCTCTGTCGTTACAGTCGTTGAGGCACATAACTCGAGAGCAGTCCTCTCCATTGAAGCCGGCAGCGCACACGCATTTGCCATCTACACAGTAACCATTACTTTGGCAGTTGTTGGGACAGGTGTGCTCTCCACAGTCCTCCCCGGTGAACCCCTCATCGCAGTAGCAGGTGCCATTCACGCAGCGTCCACGGTCATAGCAGTCTTTGGGGCAGATGAGTTCAGAGCAGTCAGGGCCAGTCCAGGGTTCATCACAAACGCAGTCTCCGTCTTCACAGCGGCCGCGGCCTTGGCAGTTGTTGAGGCACTTGGTTTGAGAGCAGTCTTCGCCGTAGTAACCATAGGAGCAGATGCATTCACCTCCCACACACTGGCCGTATGTACCGCAGTCCACAGGGCAGTCGTCGAGTGCGCAGTCCTTTCCGGTGAATCCCTTGAAGCACACACACTTTCCGCCAACGCAGAGGCCCCGGTCCTGGCAGTCATTAGGACACTCGGGTTCAGAGCAGTTGGGTGGTTTCCAGCCCGGCTCACATATACAGCCACAGGTTTCAGTGCTGTAGTTCCCATGACCACTGCAGTAGGGTTTAGTTCCCAACTTACCTTTGATAAGAAAGTAGAAAGATTTTTTTTAACAAACGTTTTCTGGAATATCATCTCTTTTGTATTACATTTTTGAAATGTTTGAATACAATCAGCTTGTGAGCTTCTTTCAATAAAGCAATTGCTTATTCACTTTCCTGAGAATTAGCAAGTATCAAGAATATTGATACCGCTCTATGTATGTACTGCTTAGAAGGAAAAATAGAAAACAGTTTGACTCGTGCCATGTCCCTTATTTCCAGTGATTATGCTAAGCTAATCAGTGGCTGGCTCTAGCTGAGAGTGGCATCCATCTCCTCTCTAACTAAGAAACTGAATAAGAATAATAAATCAATCCTTTAAGATTGCATTGGTCAGAAAGGGTCCAAAGCTTATTTTAGCAAATATTATGGAAGAAGACATTAATTCATAGTCAGCATGAATGTCATGTCATTTAATCAAAAGAAAAAAAAAACATTCAACTGTAAAGAGAATGGAAGTATCACACTCCCCCATTGGACTCCAAGGAATTCCTCAACAGATGAATTGAACAGATGTGACATTTGGTATTCTTAGTTTAGCACTTTACAATGACATTTTTGGGAACAAAGGAATATTTTACTGAACTGTCTAGAATCTGCATACCAGACAAAGCATGAAAGACAAATGACACCTACCTGTGACCTGTGAACTGCCGCATTGATCTCTAAGTGTTGAAACCTCTCCCTCGAGCATTTCCAGTCGGCTTAGGAGCTCTTTCAGGCCGGGTATGTCGTCAGTACAGCCACAGGCCCGTCGTGGTATGTTGATACGGTGGGTGAAGACGATCTGGTTCTCCCCATTGACTGTGTGCTCAATCCCGGGAAGGCCTGAAACGACTGCTGCATTTGTAGGATGGAGGTCCGTACTCTCTGGAGCGTCCACATCCACCGAGCACAGGGCACTGGCAGGAACATTGATGTTATAGACGTGGTTGAAAACTACAGGATGGTCCGCACTGGGGAGCGTGATGTTATGTCCTTTTTTAGGGGATTCCAGAGTCTGTCGTCGATGCCGGAGGATTTTCTTCACGAGCCCGGCATATGATAAGCTGAGCAAAGCAGTCAGGAGGAGGCAGCCCAGAATGCCTCGTGCACCCATGCTAGATGATGTGGGACGTTGATGTATTGAAAAGATATCCGATTTAACTCTGACTAAAGGCCAATCCTCATTTCAGATGAAAGTTCTGGAAAACAGAAAGAAAGCATTTTATTACAGATGCATTTGTATTGGGATGTAGAGCTGCAACAATAGACAAATACTTCAAACTTCATTCAACCAATCAATTAGTTAACTAAAAGTTTTTTTTTATGAACCTAATATTCTGTCTGTTAACAGAATAGAACACCAGATTTTCCAATAATCTTTGCTTTATTTTTCTTTGGATAACTGAAACAGTTATAGGCCACTATAAATGTCATATTTGTCCTAATATTTTAATATAACAAATACAATAAAAGTATTTGGTTGAAATGCTCTCTACTTACTGACTGATATGCAACTGCCTTAAGGGAATGCACATACTGTAGATGCAATGAGGTCACAAGCCAAAAACCTGTGTTTCACCTAAAGCAGAACTTTAAAAGTAAAACTTTTACAGAATAATAAGTAAATATGGCCAATGTTTAACTGTTTGTGTATGTGTATACTGTATATGACCCAACCTGACTGAGAAGCCATTTCACAGACTAACTCCAGTTTAAAGCAGATTTAAAAAAAGAAATGTGTATCATAAATCCTATTGCCAGGTTCTTGCCTATCATTGTTTTAAGCCCAGTGCTTTTGTAAATAGCAATCTTTTGGTGTTAGAATAAACTCATACAAACATGAAAAGGGTCTGAGAATTGACCTGCACTGCAGTTTGCTAAACAATGGGTTACTATGAAGTGTTTTTCCCACTGTTTTGGAGATTTGACTACATCTTTATGAATTCCACTTCAACGATGCAACAGACATAAACACATGTTTACTGGAACAAACAGCAGAGCTCAGTCAGAAGTACCAGAATCCCTTAACACTAATCAAACCAACTCCAGGCTAGCGTGGACCACACAAGTAAGTGTGATTATTATTTACAGTGTGTGCAACATAAATAATTGAGTCACTGCACTCAACATAATACTACAAGCTACTGTGGGTAAAGGACTCCAAACATAGAGATAAGTGAGTGATATCGTCTTTGTTTGATTTTGCTACGGTAAACAAAGACACTGCTTCTTTGCAAATAGTCTTCACATTCGCAGAACTTTTAAAAAGGTCAACAGCAGACACAGCCCATATTCCATGTGTTCACACTTTCACACTTGGTTTTTCTAGATTATCCAATGGAAATAGAGTGTTTGCAACACCAAGGAATTTACAGTTGTTCTGGCCCATCAATTTCTTTCACAATGCACATGTTCGAAAGTCTCAGCTGTTTTGCATGATACAGCATATATAACAAAATAGGCAGCATATATCCCATGCACAGATCTCCTTCTCACCCACGACGACTTCATCAGCTGGACACCAAGAACGCTATCATTTGTGGGAGGCAAAACTAGAACTAATGACAGGCTGCTTGCTCAGCGTGGGAAAGCCTCTTCGGATTACTGAGTAAGAATACTGAAAATCAATAGAAAGCCCCACAGTGAGTGCAAATGACTATGTATCTGTGCACAGGACTCTTCCTCACAGGATGTATGACCTCAGGTTCAAATGCATGTCTGTTGCTATGTCTGGGAAGCTGCAAACTATACCTCTATAAATCGGGTATCATCTCTGTAAGTGATGCAGGATTTTGTCCAGATTTTTTGACTGGTGGCTGACAGAAGTTTGCACATGCTAACAAATGATTTCCAGAAGGGGGTTGTTCAGGCAGTGATAGCTATGAAAAGACATGTGGAGCACCAGGATTTAGTTTCCCATGAAGACTTTTTGAAACTATATATTGAGACAAAGCTGAACCTTATCTTTCAGGGGACAAAAGCAGATGTTCCACAACGATTCAGCTTCAGTGCATCTCAATGTAACCATGACTGGAGTCATCTTTTCCCTACTACTTGGTTATTTCAACAAAGAACATATTTTATACTCAAGACACACAATCAAAACAGGTCATGGCACCCGCACATGTAAAAGGAACTTCATCAAATGCAAAAACACACAAGGAAGTCAAAGAGACACAAAAAAGCCTACATGAAACGAGTTTCTAAACAGGAAGAGAAGTAAGGAAACAAGTGTAACCATAATAAGTCAAAACATGAGGGAAGAATATATGAAGTTGTTACAAGGAGAGAAGAAAACTGTCTTTTTCCAAGAACCAAACATGTTTCATAATTTAGCAATCCATTTAGATTTAGACAGATCTTAGAAAAGGTCAAAAGATGAAAGAAAACGGACCCAAAATGTGCACAAACATACCCTCTGTTTAGCCTCCCACCGCTTTCAAATTGAAAACCCATGCCTTGACCCTGTGTCTACCTTTGACCCGAAACCTCAGGCTCTAAATATCCTCTACATTATCAGAACTTCAGTAGACTTCTGAGTGAGAAATTAGTCTCTTGTCTGTTTTTACGATTAACGACTGAAAGGTTTGGGATTAATGGGCAGGCTGAGTCTGCTTTCCTCTTTGGTCCGAAATATGAAAAGTTATAAACAGGATGTAATACATTTTTTGGTTAGGAATTTATATTTTGGAAAAAGCACTTTAGGCAGCACGAAATATCAGAGCAGAATGTGAGAGAAGTTGAGCAGAGGTTGCGGGCTAATGACCTACGGTCTTTGAATACAGCAAGTCGACAGTAGCAGTTTTATGCAGATCAGGAGTTCCATGACATCTGAATGATGTCATTTCCATTTTGGTTTGTTTTCATTTGGTAATATTTGACATGCAGCTCGATGCATTACCCGAGTCAAACGACAAATATTTTTCCATTACCTTCAGTGCCTTTGAACCCCTAATTAACACTCTTTCCTTTCCTTCTCTTCTTGACATTTGACCTGACCTTTTGTTCTCCTCACCAGCATCTTTGCATGCCTTCACTGCCTAAGACACAGATATAAAACTCAGCTTGGGTTTCACAAGTTTTCGCACATCTGGTGAGTGGTAGTATAAAGGCATGTTATGGCTGGTGTTGTAAATCTAAACACTTGGGCTGTCAATATGTTTTGCATCTCCCTCTAGAAAACGTTACAAGACACAGAGACTGATCATTTGTGGTCTTAGAGGTAAAGAAAGAATCCTTTGAGATCCTCAGTACTCTTTTTTTAGCTGAAGATGTTGTATTACAAATATGATTTTTATACAAGAATGACTCGATATTGTAGCCCGAAAGCCAAGAATACATCGACCATGGGTTGACTAAGGACATATGTGAATTCTGGACATGGAAAGAAGATTTGGGTAAAAAAATTGAAATAAATTTAAACTGTTCACTAAGCTATAATCCAGAATTGCTGTAGCTTTAGTATCCTTCCCCCATGCTGGCAGCGGGATGGGAACTTTCCCGCGTGGAAAAGAGAAACCGGGAATCTTGGCCCTGGTCTTAAGACATCTGTTTCTCTCAGTCAAAGAAAAGAAAAGGGCACTGAGTTACTTGTCCTGTTTCCACACAAACTGAAAGTGCCCCTGCATTCATAATTTGTCGTCTTTGATCATCTCTATCTGTGCAATTATCCAGTTAAGGGCTGATTTTGGTCTTTATTTCACATCAATAAGAGCAACACAAGTGCAGCATGTCTGGACACACTCATGGAAATCATTTGCGGCTGATAAAGGAGTGTCATCATCGTGAATCTGCTTGTTTGTCCATCTGTGATAATTTACCGGTTCTTTTTTTTTTTTGGTAAAGTCTGATTCTCATAGCATCTGGAACAGCTGGAAATCATATTAAGAAAAGTTAATTGGACTAGTTGGTGTAGCCGATAGAACAATAACAGAAGTTGCAACACCTCATTAGCAGATTGCACATTCCCCCACTGCTGCACAGATATCCTGAAGCGGTTCTTTAACAATAATAAACCTGAGCTTTATGTGTTCCCATGTGAGCCTGAAAAGGGCGCAGACTTCAGTTTCCATTTGCAATTATGGAGTCTCTTCTCAATCAACAAGAAAAAGCTTAAACATTTGTAATAGGAGACTTATTTTTCTTCCTTTCATATGAGCAGTTCACACTTCCATACATGATGTATTGTGTGGAAGTTTTGGGGGAACACATATAAAACAAACACACATCCTATCTTCATCCTGCAACAAAGAGCCATACGAGTTATACATAAAACTACGCACAGAGAACCAACAAATACATTATTTATCCAACTAAAAACACTAAACCTACAATACCTGGTTGACTATAAAACTATTCAAATTATGTTCAAAGCCGCAAATCAACAATTACCTCATAATATCCAGGGACTTTTCACACGGAGAGAAAGCATGCACATGTTGAGAGGAAACTGCATTTTCAAAAAACCACCCGTACGAACAAATGCCAAACTTCATTGCATCTCATCAAAAGGTGTTAGTCTGTGGAATAACTGTAATGATGCACTGAAATATTGTACAAGTCTATCTAAACTGAAAGTATTATTTAGGAGCCAAATCATGAATGGTTATGAACAGGACCTGTAAAATCCCATTTGTTATTTCTTGTAATTGTAAAAGTAATTTCTTTCTGATTGTTTTGAAAAAAACAAAAAACAAACAAACAAATTAACAAGACAAACATGTCGCTGATGACGATGACCTAATATTTTATTTAAAAGGAAAATGTATGCTAGAGGGGGTAGGACCAGAAAAGTTTTTTTTAAGCTTCTTCTTGCCCCTGTTGAACATGACAGAGACTATTTGAGAATTTATTTTTATTATTTTTTTGTACTTTGTTATAATTATTATTATGAGTGAGAAAAGAAAAAAAAAAGAATATATATATATATATTATTATTATTGTTTTATGTTTTGTTTCTGACATGTTCAATAAATTGACAAAAAAAGAAAAGAAAAAAAAGCAGTAACGATTTACAGATCAATAGAAACTATAATTTTACGAGCAAAAATCCCAAATGTCTGCTGGCTCCAGCTTCTCAATGGGATAATTTGCTGCTTTCTTAGTCATTTAGGCAACACAAAATCTTTGGTTAGGTTGCACATTGCAGCATATCTTGGTGTGTTACAGCCACCTATTGAATGTGACACTATTGGTTGGATTATCCCAATAAAGGAGGTCCCTCTCATAGGAAAACAGACCCATAGCACTTCTAGCAAGAGAACTGTTCATCTGCTGAAGAAATTATTAATTAAATATTCAATACAAAAAAAATAGTTTTCAGCCCTAGTCTCTAGCTGTAATGCTAAACAAAAAAAGAATACATAATTTGACATTTTGCAGCTCTAGAGTTGTTGTTTGTGAATGACCAAGAGAAAAAAAGCCAATATTAATTAGCCAGAAATTAAACTAATTACAAAACAGCCATCTGTGCACAGCATCCCGCCCTAACCAACACACCTTTAGAGCGCAGCAGCTACTAAACCAGCTGTCCCTGACAGAGGTTTGTTTCACACAGACACCTTCCTCACTGCAGCACAGACACATAGCACTGCAGTAAAGCTGGAAATCATCCCGGAGTGAAAAGTTACCAATGGGACGATCATTTATAGATGTGCTGTGGGATAAAACAAAAAGCTCAGAGGAACTAAATGATTATAATCTTCCTCGGCTGAAATGCTCACGAGTGAAAACCACCATAAACCAGACTTGGATTTCAATTAAGCAGCGCTAATGGACTGAATGGATGAAGTACTTTTTTTTCTTTTCTCCCTGCCCACGTTGGCAAATCCTGCCTCCCGTTTTTCCCTTTAATTGAATCTCTATGATGGAATAATGACACACAATGAAAACTAAATTGCATTGCAGAAAGTGATGAATCATCAGGCTGCAAAACCTACCAGACAAAGGGTTACTCACACACAAACACACGCAGATGGACGTTTTTGTATTTTTAGTTTTTGGAATATTGATCAATAACCTCACAAAAACTTGACAGGTTCATTTTTGGCATGAAGCGTGCTGGCTGCTTTCCTACTAAGATGATCAAAGCTTCCACATGTACTCCCTCAGCAGTCAGTCATCATTTCTGATCCTGCACTGGCTGCTATGCGAGTCTGACTGGGGAAGAAGTTGCAGTACACACCAAGAATGTACCGCTAAGCTATAATCAAAGCCCTCTGGTGTTGAAGTAACCTGTGCTCGACCAAAATGTAATCCCAACAAAAAGGTATGCTACTACTATTTTTACAAAATATTACTTTTTAAAGGGAATTAATCTCAGAGAAGCAAAGAAAAGTCAGGAAAACTGCCCTTTTGTCACATGATTTCCAAATGAAAGTATCTTCTTACCTGTGTTTCTGCAATCTTCTTGACCCACGCCCGTGCAGGTAAGATGAGGCACACCTCAGGGTCTTCACAAATGCATTGAAGCCAAGATATATGATGCTTTGCTCTGTTGTGTCACTGCTCCGTCTTGCAGCTTGTTCAGCAAGGTGGCAGCTCTGTCAGTCAATCCTCCCTCAGCTTCCTTATCTTCCTCACAGCTCACACTGGAGCTCTCTTACTGACAGAGAGAAAGGGTGAGGGAGAATCACAGAGAGGGAGAGGGAGAGAGAGTGGGAGTAAATGTCTTTTAAAGTGTGAGGAGTAGTTTAGGTCAGACCCCCGTTGCTTAAACACCAACCCTTAAATAGCCGTCATTTTCCCTCCCTCCCTCTGCTGAACTAATGGCTGCAGACCCGGGCTGCTGCCTTTAAATGAGATGCCAGTGTTACTGGGAGCCATGACAGAGCAAGCAGTCTCTTGTGGTTGTGCAGGAAAATGAGTAAGGAGAACCGGGAATGAGCGGAACGTGAAGTCAGAAGAGCGACAGTGGACAGACGGTTTTCTTTCACCATATTAACTCTGCAATAATGATTTATGATTTTGTCCTGCACAAATAAATACTAATCTTTGTTCAAATGTACTGAAATATAATATATCCAAGGAAAGCCCTCTCCTCAATCATCCCTACTACTTATTTCCATACTTCATCAGCGTGAATCCTTCCCCAGCTCTGTCACAGTGATTCATATATACAGCAGCTGAAACCAGATTTTTATTATGCATGCAAGCACTCCTAATTGAATAAATCTGCGGCACGCTCCCTGATTAAATAGTTCCAGTAATTATCTAGTGACGCTTTATTAAAAGTGACTTCAAAGTGTTGAAGTGGATGTTAAACAGTGAAGCCCATCTCTTACTCCTTCAGTAAATGTTTCATTGCTCAGACACAGATATTTCTTGCACAGACAGTTCATGTCTCATACATTTACCAGCAGGGCTGACCAGGAAACAGACACATTATGAACCAGACATCTTGGATTCCAAGGAAGGCAAGCTGTAAGGGAGTATGTGATTCAGTTGTGGCCAATCCTGAGTTTAAACCTGCAGGACTACTTGAAGCTCAGCAGGGGAAACAGGCAACATGTCACCATACGGACGCAGTGGCCACACAGTTTAATCTTAATATGATTAGATCAGGATGAGGTTTAAATCTTTAACGTGATTCTGTGAGACTGGTTTACATGTACAAGACATGCTGGTGTGTAGTTTGTTGTGAAAACTAGAGTAAAACCCCAGTAGATTGAGTAGAATAATTCAGATAAGGCAACGAATATTTATTGTTATTATCAATTAATGTGCTGATGCTTTTTCTTTGTTTAATCCTCAGATTTGAGAAGATCTTTGGTAAAACAAAACTACTTAAACGGTTCATCAACTACAAAGTTATTCAACCTACTGTCACCTTGTGACTTTACTCCTTATCACATCTAATAATCTCACGTATAATTGTTTGTCATAGTACTTAAAGTTAAGATCATTTCTTAATATTACGACTTTCCCTAAACCAAAACAAACAAATCCGCAGATCCCGAACATGTTCAATGTACCTTTCAAAACACAAAGTCAAGCAGTAAATAGCTCTTTATGAACATGTGGAATGTGCATCTAAGATTTGACTTGCACGTTGGTATTATTAAAGCAAAATAAACAAAGTCCAATTGGAAATGTTGGTTTCGCCTTGTTTTTTTATGAGCTCACAAGAAGGAGGAGCCTCAAACTTAAACAATACATCCTGACTAATCTAACGGCACAACAGAGCTAAGCAGATTTGTCACATTTCATTGGAGGATGGTCGGGTCAGGTAAACAAAGCCACAAGACGCAAGGACAACAAGTGTCTGTTTTTCAAGATGTTGTGAAGCAAAACAGGAAATGTATGCATGTTAGAAACACAGTCCAAGTACCTCACAGAGGCAGAAGGTGCACTCATAAAATCTGTCACCATTCATCAAATTAAAAATGTTCTACTGGGCTCCAGAAGACCCCAGGGATGTGGTCCGAAGGGGAGCCCTGAAGAATGAGAATATGGTGTATGGACCAGAGTAAATAGGTCACGCGGTGGCCACTTTTAATTTAAGACTTCACATGTGTTTCACGCATACTACGCAACCCATGTGGTTCAGGCAAAAACACAGAGAACATTTGGAAGGTTTTGCTACTGCAGCTACAGTATAAACAAAATGGCAGTTATGATTACAACAAGGCAATCTGAAGAATGCCTGACATTTAAGCAACCACGTCTGCTACTAACAACAATTAGAATTACAGCCAAGCAAGGCCGCTCACTATGATTCTGTTCACATGCTGATGTTTAGCACCTTTAATACTGTACCATGTTCACCATCTAGTCTAGCGTCTTAACATGCAAACATTGATAATGAGAACTAAACAAAGTTTAGCTTTGCAGATGTTTACAGTGTTGCCATAATAATCCAAAGAATGGTCAGGGGATCGTCACATTTATGGTCATTTATCCTAAGGGCTATATTTAATTTCATTTTTATTTGTTCCGTTCATGGTATGCAAATCTTAAAGTATAATAATCGTTAACTAAACATGTCTCTGTAAACACACCATTGACCGAAAAGGAGCAGGAAGAAGAAAAAAATCTTATATTACCTGCCCCTTTCTAAATAAAAAAAAAAAAATATAGAAATAGATAGTCTGTCCTTCCTATTTCTTTTTCACAAACAAACGTATTCACAGCCACACATAACAGTATCTTAGGATAATAAGAGAAACACAAAAAAATACTTATTTCCCACTTGACAGTTAACGGAAACAAAACAAAACAAAAAAACAACAACACCAAAACATATATTTACTGTATAGAAGTGTGGGGCAACACGTATATGAGCAACATAAAGCCATTGTCAATATTACAGAAAAGGGCAGTAAGAATAATACATAAAGCTGATTCAAGAGAACACACCAACAGACTGTTTTTTAAGTCAGGACTCTTGAAACTCAAAGAGATAGCTGAGCTGCAGACATTATTAGTAATGCTCAGGGCAAAAAGCAGAATGTTACCAGTGTATTTACAACAGTTGTTTGTTTTTGGATCAGACAAGGAAGACCACAGAAGGACATTTAATTTTAAGCATCCTTATGCAAGGACTACTCTAAGCAATTGTGTATTTCGGTGGTTGGTGTGAAATTGTGGAATTCTCAACAGAAGGAGTTAAAGAATTGTATATGTATTTTTCAGTTAAAGAAATTGTATAAATTAAGAAAGATGGGACTATATGAAGCGGAATGTGAATAAGTCTATGTACTCTGGGCCTCCATTGGAAAATATGTCTGTTGTCTTTGATGTGATGTCTGTTCTTTATTTGTAGGTCTTATTATTATTATTAGGATGCGCCGCTTTCCACCTTCTAGTAGGACTCAGATGAGGGTGTTGCACGTTTTATATGAATGTTTGTACTAAATGTCCAGCCAATCCATCCAATAGTTGTCAATACATTTGACTCAGAACAACAAATGTCTACTTCACGGTGGTTGTAAAGGAAATGTCAAAGGACTCTCCCACTGAGAGCCATTCTAAACCATTTCAGATAAACTGTTTTTAATACATCGAATTAAGTGTTCTCCTTTATGCAGTGAAAATAATTGTAGTCTCTAAAGACTAAACATTCATTGGTAGTTTAAAGAGTGGCAGTCTTTCTTAGAAAGGATAGCCAAGTCATCCAATCCATCCAGTTGTTCTGACTGCTACTTGGTCGAGTTCTCTATAATCTTAACAGACTGAACTGGCATAAAGAAAAACAAAGTGTCTCCAGTCTGACCTTTGAACAGGGTTTTAATCATAGAGCTCAATATGTTATGGGTAGTTCAGGCTCCACTGTTCACCTCAAATAAACAATGAGGTCAGGAAAATATAGTTTTAATCACGGATAATAATTGCCTAACCTGGACCTTTATATTGTTTTGGGTTTGCACAAAATACTATGTTTTAATGTTACGAATGGAACATTCAAAAAAAAAATTGCAACATGACTGTCAGGGAGTTTCCAAACATTTCCGAAAAGACACCTACAATGAAAGAGTCATTTTTTCATGTAGACATGGATTACTGTGGAATATTTACATGGTAACTTACTTGATGTTTAATTATGCTGCTGTACAATTATAGGGTGTGTTTTGCAAGATGCTCTAAGATAGGAGGTAACTGTAGGCTACGGTTTGATCTTTTCTAGTTGAAGAGTACAATACTACAAGAAAGAAGGAATAAGGAACAGTATTATATGGAAGTTAAAATAGTGTTATCCCACACAAAGGAGGCCATCAAGAACTTGCGTTCCCCTTGCATGGTTTCTAATAGAGACCACGTATAAAGATCAAAATCTTGTTGTGTTATATCTGTTTGTTCAGACTTTTATATTTTGGCATCCAGCAGAGGTCATCTGATTTATTATCAACAAGCGCTTAGTAATCATAAACACAGCAACACATTCTTTGAAGACCTCATTCGTTTTTAACAACCCACTTTAACTCATGGTACCCAATGGCATTTACACGTCACTTGTAAAAACTATATCTGCCAGCCGTTTGTGTCATGACACAAACGGCTGGTCGTCAAAAACTGCCTGTTATGTAAGGTCGAAATTGATAGAAAGCTTTTGTTTACAAGTTATTTAACTGAATTCATTACTGTAAATTGACAAAATAACTGTGGTACATACCGAGAAACGAAAGAAAGATGGAGCGCAATGCATCCTCATATGAGTCAGCTAAAGGCCATGTGCAGACACTAAGCAGACCAGAGATGTCACAGCTCACACAAACATGAACTAATATGGCTCTGAAGGCATCACAAATCCCTCTCTGCTCCCTCCGGAGGATGCCAGCACATCTGCTGAGAGCTGCTGATTGTGCAGCTTTAACCAAAAGCACGGACGGCAAACTCTGCTCGGAGATCCCTTTGTTGTCTCCGTGTGGTAGCTCTAATGAGCTTGTGCGCTTTACAGATTAGAGGATCTGCACTCCCAGGCATTAGTTTAAGGATTATAGTGACATTGGTGAATGATCTCTACTGAATGTGGCCCTTTGTTAACAGCTGTGTTTGGCAGGGTTGAGTTTGAGAGCCTAATCAACCACAGGGCCAGATATTACTAATAAGATAAGTGATCAGTCATTCATCACAACAGTTAATATAGTGATGAGAAGGAATACAGAGCTGCTTTCAGGCACATACAATTTATA